TTTGGAAGGCAGTACCGTGCCTGAGACTGCGCTGGGTTTGTTTTGCCAGTCGCCGATCACTATGTACGGGTGTGTGGTGGCCTGCAGGACTGCCAGGATTTTGGCGATGATGGTGGCATTGGTCTCGCTCTGGATGCTCTCATTGGTGCGGAGGTATAGCCCTATCACCATGATGGTCTGAGTGGTGGCTTGCCAGAGGAAAGCCTGAAACCCACATCCCTGCAGGGAGAAGGCTTCGACTGGTGTGAGCCCGCACGAAGGGTCTCCAAGGACAAGGATGCCGCCGTGTGTGCCAGCGTTGTCGGCATTGGGCCAGGCTGGGACACCAAAGGCTGTTCGTCCCCTGATGGTGAAGTACTGACAGATTTGTGCACGCTTCTGTGGGTCCAAGTGGGTCTCTACAAGGACATAGGGCTCACTCTTTCGTGTCCAGTACCAGTCAATGACTTGGCGTCCGAACTGCGTGACATTGGCATAATGCAACTGGTTATGCGTTTGTTCCAGTCTGGGTCGCTTCTCCGGGCTGGGGTGAAGTGGTGGATCAAAGTCTGGTTCTTCCTGAGGCGGAAGCATCTGGATGACTGGCTGTGTGGTTCTGAAGGTATCAGCCCTTACTGCCCAGATTTGCATCACTTGACTGGCGAGTTGTGGTGTCAAATGTGGTAGATAGATTGGCACCTTGCCATCATCTGCAAGCCACATGAGGTCTCTGTAGATCAGAATGGCAAAATAGTGGCCGGACTCGTGGTTCGCCCCACGATGACAGATCAGCACCGAAGGGACGAATTCCGTGGAAGCTCTTGCGAAGCCATCCATGGATCTGGGGACCGTGAAGGTGCCATAGGGATTCAGGATCTTTTTGTGCTTGGTTGCAACCCCATCCAGGTTTGTATTCCTCGTAATGTGCATGACAAGGATGGCTTTGTCGTCAATGAGGTATCGGCCACAGCCTTCATTAGCCCAGCCATTCAGCAAGCTCTGAAGTGTGGTGTTTTCAGGCCATGTGTCTGGGAAGTCGACCAAGAGCGGTTGTTGCACAGTGTCCGTCAAATAGCCTCTCTCTTGGATCTCAGCGAATCTGTAGTGAAAGGCCCTGCTCTGAGAGTGGTTCCAGAGAGTGTTGACGAAATGGTTCGCATCGCCTTGGACATTGAGATCGTGTTTCTTCCAGAGTCTGTGTAGGCCAGGCAGGGTCTGGATGTCCACAATTTCTGCCAGCTCTAAAGATTCTTGTACTGCATCATAGAGATTTCCCCATGGTTCGGTGTGCGTTTCTTGAGGAGTGCACATGTCCAAGTGAACGCTCGCCACGGGGCGTTGGCAAAGCATCTGGAGCTGGGATTGCCAACGGACATCGACAGGTTTTGCAAAATGCATTCTGTCGTGGAGCCGTAAGTGCTCTGCATTCTGAGTTTGGTGTCTGCCTTGTGGTGCTGCTGTTTGAAGTAGCTGGCACCACCTTTGATCTGGATCACTTGAGCTCCTGGAGCTCCCAAAAGCTCGCCATCAGTGTCGGTGGCGGGCTGTGCTAACGTGTCAAAACTTATCCTCCTTGGTGGTAAGGATGCTGTGGATTGGTGGCTGGTGATCTCCCCTTCACCAGTCAAGTGGGTGTCCCCAAAGTTTGGTGTGTTGTCCTCCTGTGGTTTGGTAGGTGTCTGTTCCCCTGCACCTCCATAGGAAGACCCCTGCTGTATTGAGCCGGATGCAGCACGGCAAACCGGTGTTGGATTTGGTGCCTCAAAATCATCCCATGGAATCGGCGCTTGAAACGCTGGGATGCATGTAGTGGTCCAAGTGAAAGTGTTACCCACACTGCCCCCCTGTCGGTGGCCCTTCTGTGTCCGTCTTGCGTCGTTTGTTGACTTCGTCCTCATCAGCTTTGGTCCTCTTCAAGAGTCCATGGAGTTGAGATCTTTGTTCATCGGACAGATCGATTCCGAGACTCGTGACGAAGGTTTCGACGGCCATAGGGATGGGCAGGTCCTTGGGTTCATCGGGTTCAAGGCCCGTGGGTTGTGGGGTCAAGGTGGTGATCTTCATGTATTGGTCCGACAGTTGTTTGAGCCGCTGTTGACCTTCATTCAACTTGCCCTGAAGTTCTTGCATGTCTTGTAGCATGGAGGCATACTGGGTCTTGACTTGATCTAGCTTGGTTTGAAGCTGGGTCTTCTTGATTGAGACAGACTTCAAGTCCCCCACCTGTGCCTTGAGCTTTTGTGCAAGAGCCTTTTCGGTATCAGGCAGAGGTTGGGTCAGCTTAGTGACCACTGCTTGAACTTCCTGTGGTAGCGCCGTCATGTGGGTCTTCAGGAGTTCTGTCAATTCTGGCTCTTCTGGTGGCGGAGGTCCAAAGCCGAGTGCCATGAGCTTGGTTTGGATACCTTCCGGGATCACCTCCCAGGTTGTTGCCAAAAGTCCAGCTGCTGCGGCTTGTTCTTTGTTCTGTTTGAGAGGTCTTGGCCGGTGAAGTCCAGGTGGGCTGTCTAGCATCTGGGTTCCTGGTGACTTCTTTGGCCATGCTTTGCCATGTCCAAGAGGCTTGGCTTGACCATGACCTTGACCTTTTCCTTTTCCGGTAGTGGCATAGTGATCCCACCATTGACCACACTTCCTGCAGCGTGTTCCTGGTCTCATCTTGTCCCGCCAGATCCAGTTGTGACATTCCTGGTTCTGGCATGTCATGTAGCTGCGTCCCCACTGCATGATCACCGCCCCTTTCGTGATCTGGCTGAAGCTCTCTGCAAGGATGGAGTCCGGTAGTGGACAATCTCCCCAAGGCCGTAGGAGAGTGTAGGAGGTGTTGAGCTGGATGTTCTCCAGGTAGTAGAGAGCGAGCACTGCCGGTCACCGAAGGTCAGGGCAGTAGCGAGGTTCGGGAAGACGAGTATTGCGGGCAAAGAGTGTGTTCTAGTTGGTGAACTCCCTGGGCCGACCTGCACGTCAAAGTCCAGGTTATGTGCGAGTGGGGGTTCCGCACTAGTGGGACTTTCTGGGCCGCCCACTTGAGCAGCTTATGGCCTTGAGCCATGTATGTATGTATGTATGTATGTATGTATGTACATACTCGATTCTTGCTTTGTATGGGATATATTTTGGGTTCTGTCAAGCGCTTGACATGTTTTGAGGACAACGGGGGCCATGAAACCATTTTGTGTTTTATTTGGTCTGGAGTTTTCTGAGCATCGCGGGCAAGGTTACGGGCAAAAACGAAGAGGATTTGTATCAACAGAAAGACAGCAAAAGGACACTATAAGGCAAAGAAAAGGATGGGAGAAGGGAGGACATATCCTTGTTCGTCGGTGATGTGTCTTTCTCGCCCCATTACATTCACAAAAACTACCATCGTCTCAGTTCTCTTCAACGCGGGGCATCCCTATTCAAACAATCAATTCGCTGACTTGCACATCACCAATGAACAAGGTTATGCTTATCTGGATAGCATAAATTGAGCCGATCACGTGCAGCAAAGCATGCGCGCGCAAAACAAACAATCCACCTTTTGCGAAGCATTACGTGTTTTGCCAAGTCGAGCCCTTTGCATCTTGCACACCACGCCGCGCATTTACAAAAACCAGCCGGCAGACTGAGTTGAACAACTGAAGTGAGTGCTGGGAGGTCTGGATGAGATGGTGCCAAAACGCTCGATATTAGTGGAACTGCGTGGGTTAATGGGGTGCCTTACGATGCTGGTGATGCAGGTCACCCCTGGAGATTGAGTGGTGTTAGTGATGCTAGCGATGTCGGTGAAAAGGGGCGCTGCTTGAAGGGATCCACAAAATCTCCAGCGGAGAGTCTGGCCGGTAGCGTTTCAGCATTTCGAACATGATCGAAGCAGCTGGGAGTTTCCTGCTTGCAATAACCAGTGACGTTACTTGAAAGGAGCTGACGTTCCCACTCCACACTGCCCAGGAGGGATGTGGGGGGAACGGCTGTCTCCGTCCCGGCATGGTGTGGTGACCTGGACCTTTCCAATTCAGGTGTCGTGAATGGTTGATCAGCAACAACGTGCTTCTCTCTCTCTCTCTGTTTGTAAGCACTGATTGTGAAAGTTTGGCTGAAACTCAGAGGGTGTGTCCTTGACCAAGTGGTCTAGGTCCAGGTGGGAACATGGGGTGAACCTACAACACCCGTCGGTCCGCTGTAGGAAGGAGAGACTAGAACCCATTGCTTGGGGTATACTTTTCGACAAGAAACTTAGGCCTTGGAATCTGCATGCTTCAAGGTCTAGGAGAAGCAGATGTGTTCAATGCAGGTTGAAAGTAGTTCCCGAGTTTTCAAGACCATGCTTAGCGACGTGGAACGCAGTGGCCGCGAGGTTCCACACCCCTAACAGCTAAAGAACGAATTAATTCAGGCTTGCCACCAAATCTTTGTTTCGCGCTGCTAGAGCCAATGAACAACACACACGTTGACAGTGCTACCTCTGACTTGACACGCGGCGTAATATTTGCTGCGTTCCTAATTCAACAGCTTCCAATCCTTCTCGCCATTGGACCCCCGGTTTGTCTTCGTCAACACATGCCACTGTGCGAACCCTTGTCAAGAACTGCTTTGGACCCATTTCATCACAAACTTGGCATGGCGCTGGGTTCTACTTCAAGCACTTTGTTGTGTATCTATAGATAAATGAGCACACTCATATGTACATTACATATATGCAAATGCATATATCAGATTGCTTCTACCTGGCCCGGCATTAGCACTGCTTACAAGACAAATCAGACTGGCGCATCAATGACCATCGTAGAAGTTTCATTTCAAGACCATCACCAAGCTTCAATCCCTAAGAAAAAACTGGTAGTTCACATGCGGACACTTTGGAACTGTCCCGGCAAGAAATAACATTGGATTGAATAACGAAGTGGAGATGGATTAGATGGAATATACTGAATATACAGGTTTGTTTTAAATGCTTTACCCTTGATTACTTTGTTTGTTTTGCTTTTGATCATTTGATCCACCCAAGAGTCGTGTTTTGCATTTGTTTTCTGCACAAGGTCTGACACAGGTGAAATCTTGGACACCAAAAAGTATCATCACCTCACCATCAACACGGTGACACCCGAGTGTCCTGGCTGCCAATTCACCCTGGTGAATACAGTGTGTGCAGTGTGTGGGTCTATTGACATTGACCCCAGTAGCGGGTGGTGCTCAGTCTTCCTGGAGTTTTGTTCTTGGATTCTTCTGTGAGAGCTCAGAAACGTGCGTTAAATGTTCTTTGCATAGACACAACTTTCAATGGAAATCTGGGCTGTGGAACAAATCACGAGACTTCCCAGGCCCTCGCAAACTGCACGTGAAGCATTTTCAGAGGTGGGTCGGCATTTAGCATTGCTCACTTCAGGGGCGACTTGCCTTCGTGCAGTGCAGATTTGTGGGGTTCGTGTTCACTGCTTCTGCAGCTCTGTTTTTTGCAAGTACTTTGCCAGGGACTAGACTTTGCCCGTTGCTTTGTCGCCCCTTGTTTGTGACCTGACTTAGCCAGGTGCTGTGGATCGTTGACATCTCTGCCCCAGCAGACAACTGGGGAAACTTGACAAAGATACTTGGCTAGTTGTTTACAAAGGTTCGTGGCAGCCGAACAGACCCTAGATTCATTACTAGCGGCTTGGGTAGCATCAATTTGCGTAAGTCGCATCGAGCCTTCGTGCGTGTGCTCAATGTAGCTTCTTCCAACGCCTGTACACAGGCTAATATGACTTGTCCAAGTAATTGATGCCGGTTAAACTCACTGTTAGTGCATATGTGATGGAGGCACACGCATGGGGAGGGCATGAATGTTCAGTCTGTGAGCATGCATGCTTTTGCTAGCTGCTAGCTGCTAGATCAGGTTTCAATTGTGGCTGTTACGCAGCCACACAGTCAATATTGTAATTTCAATCGATTTCATGCTTTCGTCGGCAGCTCAGTTTTTTTTCCACACAAGCAGAGGCAAGTGGCTACGATGACAAAGACTTTTGCAGTGGGGACAGAGACTTGGCTGAGTTTTGTGGCCACATGTCACCACTAGAGTTGCGCTTTCCTTCTCAGTTCCCAGCTTTTTTGACAGCATGTATGTCAATAAGCGCAAAGATAGGAACCCTTTTTGCACAAGTCGCTCAGGAACATTTTGTGACGCCGGTAAAATTTTGCAGTCAACTTCGAAACACATTTGGATTGACCGTCCACAAGACTGGCCATCAATATAATATTGTCTATCACTTACGGTCTGGTGGTGCGGAGAGGGAACAAACCCATATGTTTGTCGGCGATTTTGCCAGGTAGAACAGCTGAATGCCGGACGGAATACTTCCTCAAGCTGAGACAAGAAAGTGAATGAGCGATCAGCACCAAAGTTGGAAAAGAATGCATCTCCATTTTCAGCCCTGCTCATGAGGCATGCCATAACTGGGCCATAACGCTTCCGTTATCAGCTACACTGGATATTAATTCCCTTGTATTCATCTTGGTTATGCTCCGACTCGTGCTCGTCAAATCGGGATTCTGAGATGCTGTGAGATGTGCTTGTCTTCTGAGACTCCAGCATTTCGCCTGCAAAAACAGAGTTTGCAGCCGTGTTTGCAGGCTGGCAATAAAAAGGCACAGGCGCTGGCCTTGTACCTTGCCATCCATGTCAAGGTCTATCAGGAAGATCGTGTGGTTGGAAGCCCCAGAGCATGGGCAAGCAAACCATGAACGCCGATTGAACGTTACCACACGGAAACAAAGCTGTCTCCTTCTTCTTTTCAGCATACAAAAGGGCTTCGGTTGTGCGATCAACTTCAACCTCAAGCTTCACAAGACAAACTGCTCGTGCTACGATTTCGGCTCTCCCCTCACGAGTATGTCGTGACCCTGAAAACGGGGATGCGAGCAGCTGTCCACACTCAGAAGTTCGACTCAAGCCCTCGTCTTGGTTCTAGAGGCGGCCAAACACAAAGAAGGATCCTAAAAAGCAACATTCACCGCACATGGTCCTCAGCGCATTCCCCTATCGAATGCAAAAAGACCCTAAGAACAGTGAGAGATGCCAAACAATCGCCCTCTCAGATTCCCACCCTCTTGGAACAGCTTCTCGACTCACCGAGTGTGAGCTGGGGCATGACGATGCGAAAAGAAAAGGCTCACCCCTTTCCATTGGCTTTTGAGGTAGCACATAGCACGGCTACCCCGCCTATTGTCCACACGGGCAAACAAGCTCCCGTTCTCCAAGGTGCCCAGAGTGACCACTCCTGCCGTGATACCATCGCTAGGTGGTGGAGCAGAGACCTCTGTGTCGTAGAGCTTCTTCCTCCAAGCATCATGTCGGTGCATCTGCGCCGTGATCACACCCTGAGAGACCTCTTGGTCGAAGGTGACTGGTGAGCTGCGGGAAGTCGGATTTTGCAGCTCTTGGATCATTGCCCGAGGAAACATCCAGCTAAATTCGGCTAAATCCTGAGATTTCAGCCAAGACACGAACTGGGCCATTGACTCACCCTCACGCGACCAGAAGGTGCCATCAAAGAAGACGAGCGTTGGGGTTGGAGGCAAAATGGATTGACCACTTCCTCCACGGTCACCCACCACAGCTTCCACAGGGAGCTCGTCTTCCGGAGTTCCAGCAAAAGAACGGTTCTCTCTTCTCACATGCCTTGCGGCCACTCCAGTGCTTCCAAAGCCTGAATCACCACGGCCAGTAGAGGACAACGAATTTGATTGAACCACGTCCACTTTGGCAAACTTCTCCAAGATCAACTGGCCCACACGATCACCTGGCTTGATGGACAATGTTTCTGACCCATTGTTCGCCAGGATGACCTTCACCTCGCCTCTGAAGTCAGGGTCAATCACGCCACCGACGACATCCACGCCCTTGACGGCAAATGAGCTTCTGGTAGCAATCCTCCCATAGCACCCGGAGGTAGTTCCAGAGCGATGCCAAGAGGGACCAGCTTTCGCTCCGTAGGTTGGATCTCAATGGAGGCAGACGATGCCAAATCCCAGCCAGCAGCTTCTTCTGTTCCACGACTTGGCAGTGTGGCTTGATCATCCAAAATCTTCACTTTCAGGACCTCACGAGGAGAGAGCATACACTTGGCCACATTCCACCCCACGTCCTTAATGATGTGAAGAAGACATACCAGCCCTGCCAAAAGAAGCAGCCACCCAGTATCACTCCAGAGACCTCCTGTGTTTTCTTGTGGATTGGTGGCTTCACATGTCTCAGCAGCCTGGGTCACCGGGAGCAAAGACGCACCTGCCGCCAGCAAAGAAATCGACTTCAGCATTTCCACCCTTTGCGGAGAAGCACTCATGACCTCCTTGGAGACAGGTGTATTGGTCACTGAAGGGTCACCAAGGCCGATGCCATCACAAAAACGTGAAAGCGACTGAGTAGGCAGAGCCTTGGTCAGAGCGTCTGCCCAAAGGAACGTTCCCGGATGGTGATCGAGAGTGACTTCCTTCATCTGTATGGCCTCCGCCAGGGTGTTTGCACGAATCCTCAAATGCCGAGTCCTTCACCCGCCCCCGGCTCCCGCCGCAAGCACGATCGCAGCTCTGTTGTCATTGTAGAGCTCCAGTTCCACCTCCTCAGCCACAAGCGACACCAACGCCCTCACTGAACGTCCAACTTGTAGTCCTTCAAGCAATGCTGTGAGCTCTGCCTCAGCTGTAGACAACGCCATGAGCGTTTGCTTGTGGCTTTCCCATTGAATCGGTGCTCCAGCAAAGAGGACTACAATGCCAGTAATGCTGTGGCTGTCACTGGGGCCGAACGAAGCGTCAACCAAGACTTCAAGTGCCCCAGATTTTCTTGGTCTCCTCCGAGAGAGTTCAGGATCAGAATCGACTGGAACTTCATTCGAATAGTGCAGGCCAGCATTCAAAGACTGTCTCAGATAGGCCAGCACAGCTTCACCCAGCTTCACTGTCCAACGGGGTTTCTTCACCGCGGTTTGCGCCATCCGCATGACCGCCCAAGCAATGTCCGGCCTTGTTTTGCCCAACAACCATAGCAACTCCCCCGTGATCTTTTGGGCTTCTCTCACTTTCGGCAACGATGCCGGCTCATCCTCCTCCTTCTCCTCCGGGACCTTGATGAAGGATGATGCACTTCCACCTGGATGTCGGTCAATGATCTCCCGGACATAGCAGCCCTGGTGCAAGAAGTATGACCCATCCTTGAGTCTTTGGATTTCCATGCCCAAGAACCTTATTGGACCAAGAGTCCTGAACTGTCTTTGAAGCAGCTTGCATCACCTCTCGAGGTCCCACCATGAGGATGTCATCGACATAGACGATCATATGGCCAATCACCCGACCCCACTTGTCACCTGATTCTTCTTTGTCAGGAAAGACCTCCTGAATGGCCCAGAGGTTAGGGTCCTCCAACGGGCGGAAAGAGAAGCATGTAGCTCCTGCGACCTCACCCTCCTCATCGTCAGTCTTGAAGTGGCCCACCATTTTCTGCAACTCCGCATCGCGAAAGGAGCTCCAGTCTTTGGGGGATGTGACCAAACCATACATGGCAGAGGTGATCAACCAATGCTCGCCAGGAAGTGCCAAGCCTGCTTCTTCTAGAATGCGAGGTGGTTTGACCATGACGGTCTCCCCTTGAGCCTTTGGAGCCAGCAAAAAGGCAGACTTCACATCCAGCGAGAGGCAATCCCATTGTCTCAGAGCTGCTAAGCGGAGTATAGTCCTCAACTGGGTGGAATCTGCTCCCGATGCATAGACCTCATCCCCAGCTCGAGCCTCCATATAGTTTCCGCAGCATACGATTCTGGAACGCCTCCTCCCATCACCAGCCTCCTCCCCCTTTTTCTCGGCCTCCTCCAAGATGTCACGGGCCTGGGAATCGGTGATTCGCTGAATGGCCTGGTTGTTGTCAAAGTTGTCGATCTCCGTCTGGAGCGAAGGGATCCACAGTGGGAGCGACTTCCGAACTTCGTTGAGGCTAACTGTCCTGGTTTGAAGAAAGACCTCCTCCCCCTCATTTGCAACCTGGATAGCCTCAGTGGCCACTCGCTTGCACGAAGCCAGACCAGCCCCGAGCTTCTGCTCAATGGAGAGATTCTCCTGATCCAAGTCATAGATCATTGCCACAAGACCACCTTCATCGGCCCTGATCTCAAGACGACCGAATTCTTCATTTGCCCAGGCTTGCCCTCGGTGAAGCCGATCTTGTAGTTCCACCACCGATAGAGCGGAAAGAGCTGTCTTTTCAGAAAGTCTTCGAGCCGGCTTGACAGATCCATCCAAGATACTGGCTGGTTTGGCTCTCTCTTTGACCTCCAGAACATCCGTGAAAAAGGTGGATCCTCCGCCTGCACCATATCATCAGTCCTCACGAACTTGCCCTTCTCGATCTCCACCACATGACCGCCACTTGTGAGGCTCATCTCGGGATCCGGACCCTGGACAATCCCTGGCTTCTTCCTCATCCGCCAGTGGCCCTGGAAGTCATCCCAGCCCTTCGTCGTGACCATCGCCCTTCTCCCCCATGGTAGCAGAGGAGGGGTTGCAAAGCCCAAGGTCCTCAGCTGAAGTCGGCCACGCCTCTCACCAACATGCTTCGCCATCAATGGCCACAGATCCTCTCCTTCGCCAGCAGATCGAATGAGCGTGTTGATGGATCTTCTAATGACTCCCACCTCCGCTTCGGCTCGTCCATTAGCTTTCCAATCACTGCCACTCGTGAAGGTCCTGTAGATCCCGCGCTCCTCGCGCCACCTCCAAGACCCCAACATCTCCGCAGCGCCCACCATAGTATAGTGTAGTTCTTGATGATCACATCTTCGGACTCGACCTCCAGGCGCTCCCACTCCTCCAGCCTTTTTGGGTCCACCTCCTTAATCTCACTGTCTTCTGCTTGGACTTCTGGCAGAAGCGGATCATCGGGAGGCTCAGGAGGAGAGGTATCTTCCCCGGCCAAAGCTTCCACCATGCTCTGAGGAAGGGGATCATCTCCTGATGCAGTTCGTCTCACTGTGGGATGAACCAGGAAGTAGCGAGCCTTCTTCCGGTAATCGTCGCCTGGTCGAAAAGGTCCACATACATCAAGACTGAGGGTCATGGCACCAGGATGAGGGACTTTTCGATGTGGGCGACTCTTGCCACCTCCCTTCAAACACGTGGTGCACTCTTTGGAAAAAGGAATGTGGTCACACAGCACGTGAGTCTTCCACTCTTCAGCTGACATTTTGGCGACTCCCACTTGGTCCTCCGCCTCCACCCCCTTGAGCTTGCCATCCAACTCCAGAATGATGCCCTTTGTGACCTCCTCCTTGAAGCGGTCAGGCCTCGACTTTGGGAAGTGCGGTCTTGAATCGATGCCTGTGCTTCCATCAACTGTTCACGAGGTCGACGATCAACCAGACCATCCAGCCAAGCCAAAGAAGAGATGTTTGTACCCAACGTAGTGGGCTTCTTCCGATCATGACCCAACACACCGAGGTCGACACGAATCTCCATCAGTTCAAAGCGGGTTCGAAAAACTTCCCACTCCGGCCAGGCATAGAAGCTTGGGTAATCAACCGGATCAGATGGAGCCTTGTATTCTTGAGGATCTCTGGGATGCTCCTTGAGGAAAAGCACACGACGCGGTCTTGCAGCAGCTGCCAAGGTGTAAAGCCAAAGTTGCCGCATCCAGAGCACAGCATCTCCCCAACTCAACT